GACCCAGATATCGATAGCGATCGGGAGAGACACCTCGAGGTTACTGCTGGCCATGCCGCAATCGTCAGCGAAGGCTCCGAGCTCGTGCAATGGTCTCGGCAGCCTGCAAGCCAGCATGCGCAAGATGGGATCGTGCGCCAGAGCAAATAACGAGCCCGACATCGGACACCCCTGCTTAATGCCCCTGGCCAGGATGAAACCGTGCTTACGATTGCCCCTGAAAGAGACGGCGATGAAAACATTGGTGTACAGGGCCTGGATCGCTTTTATGATATGCCTTGGAAATCGCATCTTACGCAGGGTGAACATGAGGGCCGCGTGAACCAAGCTGGGGAACGCTGCTTTCACATCGAAAAAGACGTAGCCGCACTTATGCATACCCTGCTGGACTAGCCAGTGAAGACACTTGGCTTCCAGGTCCAGGATGTTTCCAAGCATCTGACGGCCCCTGACAAAGCCCCGCTGCTGCTGAAAAAACCACACGTTGGCAAACGGTCCCGAGAGGAATATTGATCGCAACTGACACAATCTTGTTGTCCGTGTCAGAGAGAGAAATCGGTCGTGTCTTCTCTGGAGCCCGAACCACGAAGCTCGCGTCGGCGGGCTCGTCGCCCTTCGCGAGAAAGACTGCCATGGCATCATTAAAGTTGAGGGGGGTGGAGCCTGCCTGGAGAATGTGGAGGTAGAGCGAGTAAAGGGCCCTGGAGGCCGTGTCGCCCGCACGAGCCCATCCAGAGAACGGAATACCGTCGGGTCCAGGCGCACTGTCTGGAATCCGTTCCATCATATTCAAGAACTGGTCGAAAGACAGCTCCCAGCGGATCTCGGGAGGGACCTCTTGGACGAATGGTTCAAAGCACCTCAAAGCGTCCCTTGCGACAGCCATCTTTCTGTGCACCTGGCCCCAGTACCTGGCGAGCTCCTGACAGGTCTCGTCAGCTTCAAACAGAGGCGAGCCTGCAGGGTCTGAAACAGCGCCAAGGCCATGCTTGCGGTTCTTGGTCCTCCAGACACTCTTGTACGCGTACAGGGAGTTAATCTTGCCAACCCTCTTAGCCTCTGAGATGTGCTCATTCTGCCTGATCTCCTCCATCTCCGCATCTAAAACCTGGTTCTGGAGACCTCCAAGAAACGCATGCAACTCAGTATGTCTAGTAAGGCAGCAGTTTTTGAGGCAAAAGAAGGGGTCGAGCAACGGGTGCGACTTCAGGGCCCTGCAGAGAACCGCAGAGTTGCCAGACCTGACCGCGCGAAGAGCCGCACGAGCCCACGAAAGACGACTGGCTTCTGAAACAGCCCCCAACTCCTCTAGGTCCCGCTTAAGGGCCTTGGCGGCCCCGACCAGACAGTCACGAACTTCGACACTGGCCTCTAACGGGTCCTCGGACAGGCCACCAGCATCAGCAATAGTGGCCTCGACAACCTCCGGGTACCTCGGGTGCTTGGTGACCCAGGACGGGATGCGACTGGGGCAACTGGTAGAAGGCTGGAGCGAGAGCGCCACGGGGATGTGATCGGACAACTCCTTGAGGTCCGCTGGGGAGCCGAGGGTTTTGGACGCCGGTGGAGATCACAAAGATCACCAGCAGGAAAGCTCACATAGATGCGGTCCAGGCGCCCCAGAGACACAACGATTTTGCGCTCATCCTGCCAGCCCTCGACGCTGTGCGTGAAAGAAGCCTGGTCCACCTCGGCGAGGTGGGGAAAGAGCCTATCGAACTCCTTAGCCGTGCCCTGGCCGCTGCTGACGAAGCGTCCGTCAGCATGGTGAGACCCTTCACCTCTGGCAGCAAAGTTGAGATCGCCGGGTAAAATCTGCGAGCAACACCTCGCAGGAACAAGAGACCGCCGAACGCGTCGAAGTTGATTTTGGTTGATAATGGGCTGATGATTGTGGTCAAGATGCATGTTGATGATTTGCAGACAGTGTTTGTTGCTGTAGAGCGTGAGGCTATGTATGCGGCCTTTTTCAATAATTACGTGCTCAGCGTGACGGAACAGCCTCTGAAGTTCGGGGTGAAGAAGGGTAAAGCAGCCTCCAGACGTCGTCGAATCCAGAAATGTACCAACACCAATAGCTTGATAAACTTCCTTGCAGAGATATTCAAGATGCTCCTGAGACCCACGAGCTTCCTGGATACAGACAATGTCATATCTGGAACAGAGCGATACTATCTTATCGTACTTAGCACGGCGAGAGGCTTGGGGAGCATAGGCGGCACCGAAAAAGGAACGCACGTTCCACGTGCAGATCGCGAAAGGCTGGTCAGGCAAGACAGGCGCGAGCCCTTCGAAGTCAGGCCTGCCTGCAGCGGACCCACGCGTAGATGAAGAGGAAGAAGACCCAGATGCAGTGGCACTCGACGAAGAACCAGAGGAGCATGAAAAAGAAGACGAAGTGGACGAGCTCGTGCTGTCGCAGGTCCTTGAATACTCAATACGTCTCTCATGTAATTGAAGGGCTTGGGAGGACAGGACAATACCATTGGCAGCCCCAGCGGTCGGTACTTCACCCACCTCAATGCTCGCAAGGCTGGCAGGGGGATCAGCGCGCGCCTCAGAGGTCGGTACGTCACCCCCTGCAGCGCCCGCAAAGCGAGGAGGATCCATGCGTGCCGCTGGGACAGGATAGGAAGACGCTGCAATGCTCGACGTGACAACTTCGTGACCGTGCTGCAAAGCGGCACCCGTAGGTACACCAGAGTCGGCCGGAGAGGCCTGCCCATCTCGGGTGTATAGGAATAGCCCAGCACATGTCCGAGACAGCAAGGTAGTTTCCTAGCGTGGAATAATAACGGCCGCC